GTCTCTCTCTCTCTCTCTCTCTCTCTCTCTCTCTCTCTCTCTCTCTCTCTCTCTCTCTCTCTCTCTCTCTTTCTCACTCTTTTATCTTTGATTCCCGCAAGATCGATGTTCAAGCAAAGAAACCGACAGTTGATAATTTTCTGATTTGGCTGCTCGAAGCCAAAATGTTTCTCAGTCAGCTGTGCTGCTGAGGGGGGCGTCCGAACTCCGAACCTAAAATGTGTTAAAATGGCAGGTGCCATAGTGCGTTGTTTTCAGATTCCGAGGAGACAGCTGGGTGAGTTTTGAATATTCACTTATTATTGTTACTTTATGTGTCACTATGAATGGCCGATAAACCGATCGCCACAAAGCAGCGTCTCGCGCGCCTTCGAAGACATCGCCTCGCTCGTTGCGACGTGTGTCGACGAGGTTATGTAATTAAATTAACTTGCGCTATATTTATAGGTCTCCTCGGATCGAGTTTGAGTAGCCAACAGCAAAGAACACTTGCCGATGCCGCCCCAGAAGGAAAGGTGAAGTTTTCTGACACCTATTCGTTCGACAGTTGCTGCCCTCCTCTCCCCTGTGCTTTCATTCCTTATGTTTCAAAGTCTTTATCTTCGACATGTTTATCCTGATTTAATAGTAAACCTAAAGTTAACAAGATGGCTAATAGTGGCGTCTATGTTAACATCTTTCTATGTCTCACAGAAAAGAGGAGGGCCCCTGGACGATCAAGATCGTATCTTCACGAACCTGTATGGCAGGCATGACTGGCGGTTGAAGGGTGCATTGAGTCGTGGCGACTGGTATAAAACTAAGGAGATAATAGAGAAAGGTGCCGATTGGATCATCAATGAGATCAAGATTTCCGGGCTAAGAGGTCGCGGTGGAGCTGGCTTTCCTTCTGGAATGAAATGGTCTTTCATGAACAAGCCATCCGATGGCAGGCCGAAGTATTTAGTAATCAATGGCGACGAGGGTGAGCCAGGGACATGCAAGGATCGTGAAATCTTACGTCACGATCCACATAAATTAATAGAAGGTTGTCTGATCGCTGGTCGCGCTATGGGAGCCTGCGCTGCGTACATTTACATACGCGGCGAATTTTACAATGAAGCGTCCAACACACAAATCGCCATAGCCGAGGCTTATCAGGCTGGTCTAATTGGAAAGAACGCTTGCAACTCCGGTTATGATTTCGATATCTTTGTGCAGCGAGGAGCAGGCGCATATATCTGCGGCGAGGAGACTGCTCTTATCGAGTCTATCGAAGGAAAACAAGGAAAACCTAGATTAAAACCACCGTTTCCGGCCGATGTCGGCGTGTTCGGGTGTCCTACAACCGTCACCAACGTCGAGACTGTAGCAGTGGCGCCTGTACGTGTCACCAATACATTTTTACTTCTGCATTATTTTATTTTCTTTATTCTCTTTCATAGCTTATTAATAATATCATATAGACGATCTGTCGCCGAGGTGGAGCATGGTTCGCTTCATTTGGACGTCCACGCAATCATGGAACGAAGCTATTTAACATCTCCGGTCACGTGAATAATCCGTGTACCGTTGAGGAAGAAATGTCCATTCCTCTGAAGGAACTGATCGAGAGACACGCGGGAGGTGTGATCGGAGGATGGGATAATTTATTAGGTGTTATTCCTGGTGGCTCTTCAACTCCCGTCATTCCTAAGAGGTAAACGATCCGTCGTCCGATTCAATTTCCTTCTGAAAATCATGATCGAAAAATTTCAGTGTGTGCGACACCGTCTTGCTCGATTTCGACGATCTCGTCAGAGTAAAGAGTGCGTTAGGTACTGCTGCGGTAATCGTGATGAATAAACAGACGGACATAATTAAAGCTATCACTCGTTTGATGAGTTTCTACAAGCACGAATCCTGTGGTCAATGCACACCTTGCCGCGAGGGTATCAGTTGGATGTATAAAATACTAAAGAGGTAGGTTGATGATGATTTATTTAAAAGAACGCACAGAGCAGAATGTTTATTTTACAACCATTGGAAGTTTTTTGATGATAAAATTCCTTATTCCTTTAAATTAAAAAAATCCAAACTCAAGAGAAAACTTTCAACAGTTACAAAACAAACGTTCTGCTGAATGTGATCATTGTTATCGAGTTATACAATTTTTTTTTCACAGATTCGTGGATGGTAATGCCGAGGTACACGAGATAGACATGCTATGGGAGCTTACGAAACAAATAGAAATGCATACAATATGCGCTTTGGCGGACGGCGCCGCATGGCCTGTGCAGGGTTTGATTAGGCATTTCAGACCAGAGATCGAAGCGCGCATGAAGGAACATAAGCGAGCGGCGTCGAAAAGTTGAGAAATCGAAGAGGGATCATAAACCGAAAACTAGATAAAACATAACAGCAGATATTTAGAACAATCCCTGTAAGATTTTATATTTATTCTCAGTGTACATAAATGAATTTAACGTTATAGTCATACACGAGAATCTAATTGTGATTCCCATGTAATAATGTTCTTCGAATCCAGACTAATGTCTGTCCCGGAGATTCGACTAATAAAAGAAACCTAAGAGAAAAACTTGACTTGATATTTGAACGCGTGCATACGTAAATTGTAAGTAAGTGCTCCTTAGAAAGACCATTTTCGTTGAGATAAAATTAAATCGGAAATCTCGTAACGTTTAACGTTTACGAAGGAAAATAAAACCGACGAAGCAATGTGCTCTGGAGCAAAAGTTCTCGTCTAATGGCGGTCATTCGCCGCGAAAAACTAGAGAAAATAATCATGATAATCTTAGGTACTTTACTTTAATGCAAGAGAAGACTCGATGCTTTAAGATTGGTTCGATAATAGGCATCAGAGAATTTATAGGTTTTAATCTATTCTATGCGAATTGCAAGCGATCCATCTTACCTTTTTTAAACATGACATTCTGAATAAAATGGCGACGGAAAATATGCAGCAGATCGATGTGAAATTTTGAGTAAAGTATACAATATCATAGGAAAAAGAAACGTTAGATCGTATGCGCATGAAAATTCAATTTATCCTCAAATATTGGTCGAATTTATTTAGAATCATATATAAGACTAACATTTATATACCGCGTTCTCTCATGCAAAAATTTCCTCATATTCGCTATTTTCGCGGGAATTACGTCACGCCGCGCGTTGCAGGCTCTCGAAGTACCATTTGCGACGGGTTACAGCCATAATAACAGGCGAGATATTACTTGAAATAAATGATGCAGTTATCGAATGGAAAATACGATGTTTTTGCCGAACTCTACGATCAGTCAGAATGAAGCGATAGCCTTCCTCCTTCCTTCTATGAGAATCATGCATACGATACTTACGATATGGAACGAGAAATGGTAAGATCGGGCATGTTTTCCAGAGATGAAAATATTCACCAGCAATTTTTTTTTTTTATCGAACGATACTTTGCATTTATTCGTTCATCATACAAGAGAATCCACTAGTTCTAACGTTCCGCCGAGGCTACAGTATGGATAATAATGTGTGTTTAGATACGGTACAATGTGCGTATACAATACATATATACAAAAGCACGTTCGCTCGTTCCGCAGACGCGTCCGCGTCCGTTCTCCCTGTCTCACGTTCTCTCGCACTCTCTCCCGCTCTCTCGCTCCTTTTCTCTCTTACCGCCACTAAATCAGAACTGTCTTTTTCGCGGTTTTCTCAAATTATCGTTAGTTACTTAAACAATATATTTAAGCTAGCCATTACATTCTCTCGAGATAGCTCGCCTTTTCCGGCGAGCTATCTCGATTGTGTTAGTAAGCGCACACACTGTCTTTTATGATAGGTCCGTTGTGTTATGTTATCTCGGTCTTTTTATTCTCTGCTATGTGTATACATACATACATACATACGTACATATATATATATATATATATATTATATTATTTATATCAAATCCATTTTATTCTCTCCGTCGCGCAGCCGATATTACATTTCCCTTTTATTTTCGCTTCTCGTATTCATGACTCGCGGGCAGTGATGGCAAGATCGCGGCTTGTTCCAAGTGCTTCAGATTGAAAATATCTAGGCACGATACTAACGACGCACATTTTTCCTCGAACGTCTTTTTAGGCACTAAACGTATTCCATTGTATACATCGCAGCGAGCGTTAAGCCTTAAGTAAAGAGAATAACTGTATTTTTCCGGTGATCGTATCTTGATCCCATCGAATGTCTGACTTTAAAAAGAATCTACTATATAAAATAGCTATGCCATTTTCTAAAAGCCGTCCCTAAGGTTCTCCGCTCCCGTTTTTCAAAATCGAAACGGGAATTTATCCTAAAGAGGTATATACTTGGCAAACAACACACAATTTCCAACTATATACTAAACATAAATTAACAACGTGTACGCCGTGGCAGTACAAACTTAATTTAATTTAAATCTCGTTGATACGATACGTCATATAGCGTATAATTGTAGGTCGTAGCACTTGTCATCGGAGATCTCGGCAAACATCCAGACGCGATCGCACGTGAATTGGCCCCATTGGGAAAGAGAAGTGTGTGCGGATTATGACGTCCAAAGTCAAAAAATTTCGCTAATTTCATCGGAAAGCACAGTAATTTGATGCATTCGCCGCATCTGCACAGCTCGCCCGATCGCTTTCTGGATCACTTCCCATCACTGCTCACGACGACTTAACGACTGCTCTCTCCCGACGTTAAAATACAGGTCCGCGAAAGCCGGCGTGACACGCGGAGCGTATTTTGTGTTGCTCGGCCGCTTCTCTGTCCGCTGCTCTTGTGCACACGTTGCGCCACATGACGCAAAACAGAACCTCGTAACGCATGTACGAGGGCTTCTTCGACAGGCGCATCTAGCAACGTGAAATTGCCCTGAAATGCAAAGCTCATGAGATATCGGTAATAATAATAATAATAATAATCGTGATCGATTCTGCGAATCGGAGCGGAGTGGACAGCGGACGGGGCAGCTCGCGTGAAAGTTGGAGATGTGGAGATGAAGATGCTTCACCACGCTTCGCGTGTCTTTCGCGGCCTCTCGAAGGCGCACGCGGAGACGAGAGAACGCGACTCGTAATAAAATAAAATTGTAGCACGTTTCGCTCTTCGCGCTTTCACTCGGATTGTACTTGTTGCGATATACCTTGTCTTCCCGCCCTCCTCCCGGCGCGGACGGGCCGCGCTCGTCTTCTCGAGATCTCCCGAAATCGGCCTCGAGAAAAGGTACGCTATGCACGATATGATTGAAAGCTCGCTGGTCGCACGCTCTTTGGCATGATCATTGGCTGTCTTCCGGCAAGATCACGCTTATTGTTGGAGAACCCTGCCGCTGGATCTGCGCCACCGCGCGCATCGGTTCTCCACGCTTAAATATCTACCATAAAAATAGACGCGCCTCTATCGCAGTTTCTCTACGTCAGTCCCCTACCTATGCCACTCGGAGGATACGATTCCATCTCCTTCTTCTTCTTTTTCCACTCCGTCTCTTTCTCCTCGCCGTTGTTCCGATTCCACGTAGTCTATTCTCGAAACCGTGCGAAACCATTTGTGCACGCGTGTGAATGGGAATCGAGCTACTGTCCTCAATGAGAAACGTGGTCTTATCGTTGACGAACATAGGAAATAATGCCGATTACTCGTGCGATACGCGCGGCCCCAAGAAGAGACAACTCACGCTATCCTTCGAAGATTTGGCGAAACCTTAACCGCGATAAGAGACTGACGATTACCAGTAATAGAGACACCACATCGGAGAGATTAGTAATAGCATTAATACACGATTAATACCGATACATTTATTTATCTCTCTCTCTCTC